AGTGCTGTTAATTATATCGAGTCCTCTATGTAAACACAACAGCAAACACAGTATGTCTTCTTAAAAAGTACATAAGATTCAACAAGCTATCTGCAGCCTATTTTGTCAGTTCATAAAGCCAAAGTAAAGCATTCATTAGTCCATTATTTATATTCAAGTATTAAATATAGACCCAAAACACAACCTATTATGCCACACATTAAATGAAGACAGAAAACACTTTGATTCAAAGGGTTCATGAGTGTATTTTCTTTATAGTAAAAAAAAACAACAACATTTTAGGTGGAATTTCTGATCATTTGGATTTATATTATTTGCCACTGAGAAAATATGTAATCAGTCCTTTGAATCAAGCACAATGGAGATAATTGGAAAACCAATTTTCCAGCAGTTCTCTCTGGGACAAAATACAATTCATGATCACAAGTCCAACAAAAAGATTCATTTAAAATTGAAAACTGATTATGTTCCGTTTTCTGCACAAATAAAGGGGCACACCTCAACTGTTATGCTATCTACTATAAAACGCTATGAAGCAAAGCCTTTAGAAATGAGCAGAAAATTGTATCGTATTGAGGTAGCTGTGCTCTGCCCAGTGCAGAAAAACTGGCTTATTCAAATCATGAGTAAAAAACATCCAAGTCAATTTATACTCTACTATGGGGTCTATACACAATTAAATTAAGAATGTAGAACCACAAAGTTCATGCTTGGTCACAGGACATGCGGCGTTTGTTTCCCAGATTTTCTTTTCCTTTAAGCAGAACATTCAAATCATTCACACCCAAACCTTTCCTAGTGTGGTCTGCCACTTGGCGCTCACCTCTGAGTTTACACTGAAGACACAATGGTAAACATTAGAAAGAAACAAAACAAATCAAGGCGGTATGTCTAAGCCACGCTGGTCAAACAATTTACAAAGCGGTAAAAAAAGTTGCATAAAATAGTGTTCAGTCTCTATACAGAACAATGATTTTCGGATATCTAGATTTCTTTTTGTAAATGAAATGAACCAAAATAATATACAGGGTGTAGTGAACCAAAATAAGAATGAGCAAAATTATTTAAAAAGGTATGCCTTATAGGCATTACAACAAGAACAAAAAATCTGGCATTATTTATAACTCTTAATTCTTAACCCCGCAACAAAGTCCATAATTTAGGAGTGACGGTCTTCTAGCACTCTCATTTACCCACATAATGTGGGAATCCTGACCCATATCCAGTGGGTGACTTCTTAATGTTAACATTTAATATTATTCATTATGTTTAATTAAAGTTGGTCCTTCTCATACATACAGGCACACAGTCTAAATCTACAGACATCCACACAAACTAGCTACGCAGACAGGGAGAGGGCAGAGAAGAGAGAAGTGGTGGCGGTGATGTGGGGCAGAGGGAAAATGGAGGTTGTGCTCAAGTCAGTCAGGACCAGAACATGTCGGCCATGTTAGTGTCGGAGCTGTAGATCCAGACGACGAGTGGGAGGCAGATGGCCACGAAGGGCCAGGAGATGCCCTCCAAACATGCACACATGGCACAGCCTTTGGAGCTGGCTGCCTTCTCCAGCTCTTTACCGGGCTCCAGGTAATTTCTAGCAGCAAACTTGAGAACCTCATCCAACAAAATGACCGGCAGTGAGATCTTCAGCACCATCAGCCACTGAGTCAAATTCAGAGGGGTGATCTGAAATATGATCTTTTAAAAAAAAAAAAAGTCAAAATTAGCATTTCATATAATAAAAAAAAGTGTTTCAGCGTTTTAGCAAGTCTTCAAGTGAGAAGAATGAATGTATTACAATACAACCCAGCATGGTTCACATGTCAGAATAAAGAATAGGTTTCTCACTGGCAGTGGTTCAACGTAGAGGATGAGGAAGTGTAGAGACATGGAGAGGCAGATGGCTCCCAACAGCCACACGTTCTCCCAGGGAGGCATCCGCAGCAGAGACTGGTTTTCTGACACACTGACAGACACATAGGAATGTGTTAGAAGATCTGACACTAAATGCATACTACATTTTTGCAAACACAGTACAGCAACTCTTTAATGGAACTTACCTGTTCAGAGCATTGCACATCTCAATGGTGACCAGCACCGAAAGGGCCATAGTCATGGGATATGGGGACTCAAAGATCCTGCAGTCAAGGCCTTCAAAGTCTGCATTGTCAGGGCCACACTGGAGGAAGTGACTCTAGAACACACAAGAAAAGCGAAGTTTTCAGATGCCATTTTGGAGGTCGGCTGGTTGGCTGCTTTGGTGGCTACCTGGCACGCACACTTATCAGTTTTTGAATCCTTTTTTGTTTGGAGCTCAGTTTTTAACATCATATCATGAGATTTTAACAACTAAGAAAAGCAGCATGTGCAGTTCAAACAACACAAGGGACAGTTCGATTTTATGCAATCAGCTGTTTTTTCCGTATCCATGGAGACAGTGTAAGAAGCTGGTTACGAAGCCGAGTAAGGAGCTAGTTCTGGACATTTGAGATGCTACAAGCTTTTTACATCATATGTGGCAGCAAATGTGGCAGAAGGCCTTCCAGAGGAAATACTTTGAGTTAATGAACCATTTCATCACAACAGAGTGAGAGTGAGGCCTGTTGTGTTGTGTTCACCTGGTTCCCCCTTGGATGCTGCTGTGATGCTGCAGAACAAAGAGGAGGGACATTTTTGGCTCTTTGTCTCCTCAAACTGCCCCAAGACAGAATCTGCTGAACCTACCTGACTAGTCCTACTGTTATGCTGCACTGAGACCTTTGAGAAGCGCAGTGTAAATGTTGCTGCAGCAAAACTTGAATTTTCCCTAAGGAAGAATAAAGTATTTCTCTGTCTCTCTCTAAAAATGTAATCCAGCTCACCAGTTGGTAAAAGGTGATTCTAGGACCATCTTCAGCAGCTACAAACCACCAGGCTGCTGCTCCAACAGTAGCTGCGCCTACATAGCCTGGTTCAAAAAGTACAAATCATTAGGACACAATGAAGGAGAATAATAACCACATGTTTTCAAGCTTTGAAATTCCTCCTCTTACATCCAATAGCGAGGTATCTGAAGAAGAGCCATCCTGAGATGAGAGGCTCCCGGGCGTTGCGTGGAGGCTTGTTCATGATATCCAGGTCAGGTGGGTTGAAGCCCAAAGCGGTCGCTGGAAGACCATCAGTCACAAGGTTGACCCAGAGCAGCTGAACAGGGATGAGAGCTTCAGGGAAACCCAGGGCAGCAGTGAGGAAGATACTGTGAATGGAAAAGCAGAGAGCAGATCTCTCAGAATAAGTCAACATTTTGATGTAAGATGAGTGTGATGCTTACCAGACAACTTCTCCCACATTTGAGGAAATTAGGTATCTAATAAATTGTTTCATATTGTTGTAAATGGCTCTGCCTTCCTCCACTGCTGCTACAATTGTGGAAAAGTTGTCATCGGCGAGCACCATCTCAGAAGCAGTTTTGGCTACTGCTGTCCCTGAGCCCATGGCAATGCCAATCTCAGCCTTCTTAAGAGCAGGAGCATCATTCACACCATCGCCAGTCTAAGAGGAGCACAGGAACAAAAGGGATTAAAACAGAGTTTTATACAACAGTTTGTGTTAATGCTTACATTTAAAAAAAAATATCTGTTTGTTTACTCACCATTGCTGTGATCTCATCATATGATTGCAAGTACTCAACAATCTTAGATTTGTGTGATGGTTCTACACGAGCAAAGCAGCGGGCTTTAACCACAGCTTCCCTTTGTGCTGCTGGGGACAAATCGTCAAACTCTCGGCCTGTGAAAGCCATGCTGGATACATCGTCATCTTCACCAAAAATGCCAATACGTCGGCATATAGCCACAGCAGTGCCTGCATTTTACAGGAAAAGAGTTAGTCCAGAAATTCTACCTATGGTAACAGTTTATATATTATTCTTATTCTTGTACCTTTGTTGTCCCCTGTGATCATAATCACTCTGATTCCTGCAAGACGACAAAGTCTAATAGAGGCTGCCACCTCAGCCCGAGGGGGGTCCAACATGCCCACACAACCAACAAATGTCAGGTCAGTCTGGGGGGGAAAAAAAAAACATTTAATCTGTTAGTAATCAACCAAATGGTTTTGGATACATATAATCTATTAATCCCAAATATGTGAGTCTCACCTCATATTCAACAAAGCGACTGGAGTCTTCGAGTGCGAGGCTGTTCTTACTGATGGGGGTGTCCCGAGTAGCCAAGGCCAGACAACGCAGAGTGTCCCTTCCAGTTCCATACTCTCGAATGACTGACATTAGTTTGTCTTTGATCCCAGGGGACATAGGCACCTTGTTACTGCCAACACGAACATGTGTGCATCTGTCAATGACTCCCTCAGGAGCACCCTGAAAACAAAGAAATGTTAAGACATACATACAAAAATGCAGGCAAAAACACTAGACAATACAATCTAATTAGAAGTCGCACCTTTACAAACATTTTGCCAACAGAGGAGCGCGCTTTATTTGGGGTGCAGTATACAGACATAGATTTCCTATCTCTGGAAAATTCCAGTGTGAATTCTTTTTTCATGAGCTGCTTGATTACCTAAAAAAAAATAATTTCAAAGCACAAACAAAACATATGAGTCCTACATACAGAAGGTGTGCCAAAGATGTGAAAAATGACACAAGTCAGAGACATACAGAATTACAGGCGTTGGCACGTTCCACTTTGGACAGGCTCTTTACATCTGTATCAAACACATTCATCTTCTCCACTAGACATGTGAGAGCAGTCTCTGTCGCCTCTCCTACTTTTTCATACACACCTTTGGTCTACAGAGAGATTAAAACAATATATTTAAGTTAGTAAATATATCACCAGTAATATACTCTAATACAAACCTCATTGTAATCCAATGAAGAATCATTACAGAGAGCACAGATAGAGGCCAGCTCTACCAGAGCGTCATACTGGGAACATTTGACAGGCTTGCCATCATGGAAGCTATACACAAGCAAATGCAAAGAATTGTCCATTTAAAATCATTAGTCAAGACACAAATATACAACAAAAAGTATGTAACCGATTGCATACTTACACTTCTCCTTCTGGGGCATAGGTAGATCCTGTAACAGTGAACTCTTTCAAAGAACAGCGATCGCCTTCTGCTTGGTCAAGTATAAACATCTGTAGAAAAATAAGAACAGTCAACTTTTCTTTGTGAATGTCAACATCATGTGAAGAGTGGCTACAAGACATTACTTCAGTCAGTAGGTGGCAGTATATGTCTTTTTAAACAAACTGTAAAATCACTTGGCCTTAGTACACCAAGCTCCAATATCACACCCTGAGTTAAAGCAGATATCCAGTACTTAGTGTTTTTTTTTTGTTAGTTTTTTTTTTTACAAATGACTCATAAATTGCATTTTGCATTACACAGAAACGAGACTGTGATTAATATGCCTCTCTAAAGAAAGAAATATTGGAAGTTCAGGAAAAAAAACAAAAACAAAAATTCAATGGACACTTTATGAGAGTCAGAATAACCACTGTGGCATTCAAAAATGGTGCCCTGTATTGGTATGGGGCACAATTTTGTAAAACTGATTATGAATTAAAATATCCTCTCCAAGCAACGTCTGTTATATAACTCCAGTAATGCTATTGCTGTTGCAAGTGACTAACCACTGCACACTGATGCTGCCTTAGTAGGAGGGCTAAGGACAGATGCATAAGTAATATATAGTATCTGAAAAAGTAATATAGATCTGAAAAAAGCAAGAGAGAGAAGGAGACAGTCTATAATATATAGGCAAAGTATCTTCCTTTTGACTTGATGTCTTTCACATGTTGCTCTTCACTACTCTTTCTGTACATGCCTAAATCATCTCATTCTGATTGCTCTGTCTATCAATACACTGGGCCTCTTTAATGATATGCATCCTTTTGACATTAGACCTGCCCAAGTATACTGCCTACACAAAAATGGCTGAAAAATTATATTACAGAAAATAAGGAGCCTTGTAGTCCTCTCCTTACCCTGCACACAGACATCTGATTGGTAGTCAGAGTGCCGGTCTTGTCAGAGCAGATCACAGAGGTACAGCCCAGGGTTTCCACAGAGGGCAGACTGCGAACAATGGCGTTCTTCTTGGCCATGCGTCGAGTTCCCAAAGCCAGACATGTCGTGATGACCGCAGGGAGGCCTGGAGAAAGGAAAATGGAGACAGTGAACCAAAGCACTGTATTACCTACACTGACAACAGTAGAAGAAGAGAGAATTACCCTCAGGAATAGCAGCCACTGCCAAAGCCACAGCAATTTTGAAATAATACACAGCCCCACGAATCCAAGAACCTCCATGTACAGGGTCATTGAAATGTCCAATATTGATGATCCAAACCGCAATGCAGATGATGGAAATCACCTGGAATTGTATGAATGAAATGTATTACAAAGACAAACCATAGATATTTGTACAACAAATATCAAGACGTGAAAATACACAACAAACCAACCTTTGACAGCTGTTGCCCAAACTCATCAAGCTTCTGCTGGAGGGGTGTGCGCTCCTGCTCTGTAGAAGCCATCTCATCTCGAATTTTACCAATTTCTGTGTTTACTGCTGTTGCCACTACAACACCAACGGCTTTACCGGCTGCAATGTTGGTGCCCTGAGACATTCAGCAAAGACAGTTATCATGCTAATGTTATTAGGGGAAGTCAAATTACTGGTAGAAATGGTTTAAGAGTCACTTACAGAAAAGAGCATATTCTTCTTGTCTTGGTTGACAGCCCGCGGGTCAGGCACTGGGTCAGTGTGTTTGATAACAGACACAGACTCTCCTGAGGCAGAGACAGAACAACAGTATGACATGATGGAACAGCAGTAATAGCTTCGTGTTTTGGCTCTTTGGGCAGATGTAGCGGAAGATTCTACACAACCCAACTGAGCAGACATGACAATTACCCCACCATGGGCAGACAGGGTGCCTCTCAAACGCTCCATCAGCCTGTGTGCTCACTGCAAAGGGTCTATTGAAGTGTGCAAGCTCCACACCTCTGATGGAGCACGACACAAAGCTTTTGACAAGTGCTATGGCCATGAATGGGGAAGTGAAGGGGAAAAAAACAGCTGAAACTCTTAAATATCTCCGTGGAATTTGCTTCCAATTAAGGCAGTAGAACGACTAGAGATTTAAGGCTTTGATTCCCATAAAAAAGGTCTGTGATGGTTTAGCTATACCGCAAATTTCCACCTCTTAAACTAATATGCCTGCCTCACTGTCAACAGATTTATTAATTTACCTTTTCTTTCATCAGAGCTGACATTATTATTGTTAGAGCAGGAGCCTAGCAACCATACTCCCAAAGCATTTAAATGTGCGTAGGACACTCCATTTGAACCATGTGTCTGTGTACACTATTTACATGAAGGAGTGTTGACTTTAGAGCTAATGTAAACTTATATAACGGTTTTTACCTGTAAGAATGGACTGGTCTACCCGTAGTGTGGTCGACTTGATAGAGCATAGCCTGATGTCTGCAGGCACTTTATCTCCAACTGTGGATGAAAAACAGTGCGCAAGTCTTTATTGTCACAATCGATGAGGTTACAGTGATAATATAGGTTGGGATGCACTAATGTAGTTTTTTTTCTACTGAACATCTGAGAAAATATTTAACAGTTGATGGAAAAGTCCAAGCCCTACTCCCATAATGATGTATGTTCCACTTGCCCTGTCAGGATCTCAACACATTTTTTACATTTCGATAGGGTTCACTAATCTTTGTTAAAAGTTTTTTTTTTTTTTTTTTTAAGGTAAACATGGACAATCAATCAAGGAAGACCAGTTTGCTAGTTTAACCATTTATATCCTATAACTTTATTATTAGATAGCATTGATTAAATACAATATAAAAAAGGTAGATCCTGGGTGCCTGTCCACTCTACAGTCTGAGATGTGCAGGTGCAGTGGCGGAGCACTGCAAAGCACCAGAGAACAACAGAGAGGAGCAGCGAGGACAATAAAGACTTGACAGAGCGCCTCTTAAGAGCCCTCAAGACAGTAGAGTATCATGCACCAAGCCTCTTCACAGCGGCACCTTGGAGAAGAGGCATGAGAGAGGAGCAGGAGGCAAATGGGGGAAGAGGCTGCAGATGAGTACAACTTTACACACGTCCAAAAATGGGAAAACTATTTTGATCAGTAGTGAACATGCTCCTGGTGTGGGGGGAAGGGCAGAGATAAAAAGTCCAGTTTTTGAGGAAAGGAAAACCCATTGGACACGACTGAACCAAAATAGAAACAGTATGACGCAAGTTCTTTCATTCTCACCGGGGTCACGATCTGGTGAGTGTGGCTTTTGAAGAATTGTGTGTTGCTAGGACGATTCATAGTCAAAAAACAAAAATACAGTCTAATATGTATTAATGAGTCAATATGTAGATCTAGGAGGATATTAACGTTTACCTCATCTTATGCAAGCTTCTGGTACAGCTCTGTATCATCTGCACTGCCTAATAAGGTAATAATGCGAACTGTTGACTAGAGACCACTATCACCTGCTCACCTTTAAACTATCCTCCTTCACATGACATAATGAAGATCAGAACTGTAAGAAAGCAATGTTTCCACACAGATTTATACTGAGAATATGGTGACACAAACAATTCATAATTGAATCTTTTATTTAATATCATTTGTTGACAATAAATGTCAGTGATTGCCTCTACTGAGCAAAAACACTGAATACAGAATAACTAGTTACTTTCAGATCACTGATCTACGTAAATATGATAAGCTAGATAAAATATCATGAACAGCTCATATAGACTTTATGTTTGGAATACAGACTGCTTTCATTATACTGGAATGGCTTATTTGACAGTTTTGCTTTTGGCACTGCACACACAAAAACACATCACTTCCAACAAGCACTCCTCCGTGAGCATAATTAAGATTTTTAAAAGGTGTCGACATAATTAGGATTTTAAAAAGGTTAAATGTATAAATAAACTGCTACATGAAGTACTACTCTTACAATATCAGTGGCAGAAGCCTCAAGTTGAAACCAGTGGACTTTGTAGCAGCTGTGTGAACATTAGGTTTATCTACCCCCTTGAGAGAGGACCCAACACCAGACAGGCCTGTGCTCCACTCACACTGTCATGCTGTCATAGCCTCTTTCCCCAAAAATCGAAGGTTCTTCCAGAACATACAGTTTGTTTAGTTTAGCACAACATGTGAAGTCCCAAGACAGTGAAAATATTAGAGGAAGTTGAGTTTATAAGACAAATAAAGAGGTGATCCAAAAGCCCTATGGGACATTTTATAAGATCATGGAAGTCTTCCTTTGAATTATGAAGAGACATCTGGCCTCAGACTTGATAAACACAAACCATGCATTGTGTCCATATTACGATCATGCTCTAATAATCTACTGTATACTGCAAAAATAGCCAACACACTAGCTCGGATCAGCACACACACACAGCACTGGATTCTACAGCTGACACAGGGAAAAGAGAAGCAGAGCCACAGCTTAAGCGGTGACAATAGACAGGCCGACCCACGCTGTTTAATAAAAGACAGAACAAGAGGACCTCTGGAGCACAAATTATTTGTCATATTAACCTTTCCAAACTTCACATCCGGTGCTGTCTTTCCATAATTAATACACAACATTTACAGGATTAGTGGTACATTTTTCACAGTGCATACTGGTAATTTCTTTACACACTGCAGACCATTCTCACTTACAAGATACTTACAGTAATCCAGTCATCTGTCATTTCACAAAAAAACAGCTCACTTAGTACCAATAAAGAGCAGTAAATTCCACTTCTCAAGTGGAAAAATTCTTAACTAGTCATCTGTCAAAACCAAGATGATTGGTAGATTTACTTTGCTTTGGATGGATGGCTGCATTAATTACCAGGGTAATTTCAAGATAAATGTGATGTGCCTTATAAAACTTGACAGTAAACAAAAAGGTGTGTGAGACTGATGTGATAACAACAGCAAATAAACTGCATATCTGTGTACTGCATGGACTAAATATAACTTAGTTTGCATAAATAGAACTGGACCATATGACACAAATTTGCAAAAACTCTTATTAAGATATAAAATATAATGATTTCATTATATCTGCATTTTACATGACCAGGCAGTACCCTTCTCATCCCATATGTTAAATTTCCAAGTAAACCATACAGCATATGGGCATCAGACAGGCACTGGCAGAGAAATTAATACATTTAATCAAAAACAAACAGGATTCAATGCCACACTGCATTAGTCTAGACCAGGGGTGTCAAACTCAAATTCACAGAGGGCCAAAATTAAAAACTGGGACTAAGTCGTGGGCCAAACTAAATATTTATTGAAAAATGTCAACAAAATCTGCATGTCTTCTCCTTTTTCAAGATATGTAATGTTAAACCTTTTCATATTAAAATAAATGTTTAATAATAGTTTTGCCTAAACACTGAACACAACACAAGCATAATATAAAATAATAACATTTTAAATAAATAATGTCTCTATAGCCTATCTGTAGCCGGTGGGCCAGCTCTAATACATATTTGATATAATCTCGTGGGCCAAATATAATTATATTGCGGGCCAAATTTGGCCCCCAGGCCTGAATTTGACATGTTTGGTCTAGATGAAACGTGACTCATTCCTAAATTGAGAATAGTTTCTGCTCTCAAGGTATATAACTATGTATAACTATGTATAACTATGTGTATAGCTATGTGTATAACTATGTATCATTTGTCATTATTATTATCCTGAAATTGTCCTAGGAGAGGAACAGGATGTGGCTGAGCTACATAGCCAATTGTTTAACAGTCAGTGCAGTTTGACGCCTTTTAATTATCTTTATTAATGGCCAATATCAAACCTTTTTGAGTCAGTTCGATTAGGCACATGGCATAAGGACATTCTCAAGCAAACAGGATCAGCATAGCTTTTTATTTACCATGCTTCAACATCTGTAATGTATAGTTTGAATATCTTTTAATGCTGTTTAGTCAAAGGCTGTAAGACAAAACTGGATGTACTTAAAATGCATAACGTGTCTTACCTGCCACCTCTACAATATCACCAGGCACGATGTCCCTGGCTTTAATCCTCTGAACACTCTTTCTGTCCTGGCGGTACACCTTGCCCATCTCTGGCTCATACTCCTTCAGTGCTTCAATGGCATTTTCAGCATTTCGCTCCTAAAGAAATGCAAGAAAATGACACAGGTTTGACACTCAAACAAGGACAAAGCCCAGCACAACAGAGACCATCTATCTGAGGGCGGGTATTTGTTTTTCTTCCTTTTTCCTCCATTCTCTTAACCTAAATCATTCTTGGGTAAAATTAAATGTTTTAAGATTTACAGATACACTGACTAAACTATAAACTACAAAAGACAATCCCTTTTTGTCCCCAAGTCATCAGCTTCTATTGCCAGCTTTCATGCTCTCAACTCTATTCAATTCTCATCCACTCTTTGGGCCTACAGCTACAGGACTATAGCGCCTTGTGTGGCAGGCAGCACCACACAGCTATACAAGGCAAGACGATGCGCTTAACCTGGGGATATTTCAGTCTTTGTGAGGAACAGCAAAGGGGATGGGGAAAATGTGAAGAGTGGCTTAAGAGCTTTATACAAACAGAGTACTAGCTTCACATTAGCTCTTCTACAGCTGCATGATTTTAAACGTAACGATTTTAAATATACTTTTTTTTACAATATGCCTGTTGTTGCCAGTAATTACAGCCAAAATTTCCACACCACTATTTTCTCAAATTTCTGTGCTCATATCTTTTCACTTAAATAAAAGAAAAATCCAACAATGTCAACTGTGTCATTACCTGCCACACTCCTACGATAGCGTTGGCTATGAGAATAAGGAGGATAACAAAAGGCTCCACAAAGGCTGTAACAGTTTCCTCTCCCTCTTCAAACCAGGCCAGTACCTAAAACACAGACAAGCAAAATATGGCATTTTCAAAATGGACAATGAACAATGTCATGAGAAATATTAAATCAGTACTATAGTCATAAATGTCAGAACAAAAAACAGCTTAATTTAGCAAACTGTTACTTTGTTGTTATTTGAATGAATTTATGTGTATCAAACAGCACAATAAATGGCAAAAGTTTGATAGATTTGATCTGCAAACTGCATAAATAGTTCTTAAAGACATTAGTTAAATATATATAATTTAATATATAACTTGTTTCTATTAATAGATTTTAATTAATAACCATGTTGGAACAAGGGCATCAGAAACTGGGCCACATCTGAGAAAGTCATTTGAGGGACACTGAGTAGTAACAGCCTTCATTTCAGAAATCTGTGCCAGCAATTTAGTGTCGAGCTCAATCCGAATCTCCATAACACACATGTCAAATAAAAAAAGTCCCATTTGAGGATAATGATCTTCATGTGCTCCCATGCTATAGTAATACAGATACGCTTTTGTAATGGAATAGAAACAAGGATGGACTTCACAACAGATCCTGAGCATCCATGTGCTTTTAGCCTATGGGCAATCAGCTGACATACGAAAACCGGGTCGGGGAGAAGTGAATGGAGTCACACATATTTCAGAAGCTGTGGTCTTAGGTCAGTATAGTAGCATTAGAAAGGGCATTTGAGGTCTGTAAACTACACAGAGAGTGGACAAATAAACCACAATCAATCAGAAAGAGAAACACAGGAGTGACTTAAGATGGTGCATACTGGTTTCACACCACATCAAAATAAGTATTTTCAGAGATGAATGAAAGGGTAAAAAATGTCTCAAAAGATCAGAAAACTACACACAAGATTCTGATCTGTAAATTGTATCTCAACTGTAAACATCACATCAGTGTACAATTTCTGTCATCCTCTGTCTTGCTTAACATAAAAACTGCATAATCTTTCATCACCTTGAGTGCACTTAAGTAACAGATCCAACTTGAGTCATACTTACAAATGATATGCAAGCAGCAAGTAAAAGGATCCTCACAAGCAGATCTTCAAACTGTTCAATGACTAGCGCCCACAGGGACTTGCCTAGAACATGTTAAATACAAGATTAGTGACATCCGACTGTGTAAGATAATGAATACAATGAATATTTGGTTAAGATAATGTATTCTTACCTTCTTCGGCTGGCAGCTCTGTGGATGGTACGAATAAGAGACAAAAGACATAAGGGTTAGCATCAGATTGTTGTTGAGTATAGACCATTTACATGTTTGTAAACATTTTGTTCTGGAACGAACAGTTTACAGGGAAACTCGAATTAACCACAGACTGTCACAAAATATGAAAAATCATTATGGTTTTGGCAAATGATAATCGTTCAGCTACATGTCAGTGATATCTGAGACTGTTTATATACTTCCAGTTATATTTTACTTAGTGTATTCATTCAACAATCATGCAACACTTCAAAGTGTAGTGCAGTTTTAGGTTTTACTGGACAATAGCTCACAGAAAAACTGACCCTATAGCAGCTATTCGCTTTAGGCTTAGACTTTGATAAACTTTATTGATCCACAAGGGAAATTATTTGGACACAGTAGCTCTCTCATCACAATATAATATACTAACAAAGAGTAAAAAAATATAAATGGTAATAATAAATTCTAAATAAGTAGCAAAAAAGATAGCAAGAAACAGGTGTCAAATAAGGAATAATTATGTAAATGTATACAGTATGTACAAGTCAAAATAAAATGGAAAAATTACTACCGTAGTAAAATACAAAATCTCAGCTGTAAACATAAGGTGATAGGAAGACAGTGCAACAGTGTTGTTGATTATTGACAAGACATATGTTAACCATCCTATGTAATAGAAAAGTAAACAAATAGACATTTTCATCCTGGTAACATTTAGATCTGATATCAATTTTGACTGGAAATTGTATTATGGTCTTCTTAATTTGGTCTCCATTACGGCATTCTAATATGGCATACAGTTTTAAATGTTTTAAAGAGGTATTGATTGATTACATGTAAAATGCCATAGTGTATAGATCAAACGGCATGTAGTGGGTTAACAGCCTTCCTCTTTGTGTAAGCAATGACGTCCGCTACGAACCTACAGCCGTCAGCTAAACATGCCACGGTTCAGCTGTTTTTTTTCAGCCAAGTGATGCGGACAAATTTCTTACCATTGGGTCCAAATCGGTCCCGCTGCTTCCGAACTTGCTCCAAACTGAGCCCTGTGCTCTCGTTGACGCTGAAGAAGGCATAAACTTCCTCCACTGTCTTTGTGTGAGCGTTGTCCATGGTGGCCACTTGAGGACACCACTCTGCTGGTCCCAACCTCAACCGGTCAAGGCTCTGTGTTATTACGATGCCGTCAATCCAGGGTTTCGGGCGAATAAGCACCGATGGACACTAAATACTTGTAATAGGCCAAGGCTGATAAAAAGCCGATCAGAGCTGATTCTCAGTGGACAAATGAGCGGCTCCGGGTGCTAGCTGATAGCAGGCTAACGGGCTAGCGGAGTGTTGGTTGAATTCGCCGGCTCTGCCTCACTAACCTGATCTATAATAAACTAAATAAATACAAACTCCACCTTTAAAGCTCAGGTCGGATACACTAAGTTTGCCCTCTTCCTCCACAATTACAGTACACTATAGAATTGTTGGTCCTTTTCTGGTTTTAGGCATGTGTCTGTGGCAGCCCAGCTCTGCCCGTGCTGTGCCCGTGTTGCGGCTACGGTCCTCGCGTTGGTCGGCTGCAGATCTCGCGTGTGCCGAGTGCGCTTTGCAGGGTCCGCATGTGGAAGCCGCTCATTGGCTAGACTCAGCGGAAGTTACACTCTCTCGCCGTCGGTTTCTCTCTCGACCGTAGAACTATATTAAAGCCTGGATGGTGAATTAAAGATGGCGTCGTATTGTTTTCAGTGGCCTGTGCTCAATGGCGCATGGGCCCAAAAATAATGTTCCCTTCCGCATTTACTTCATGGATCTACAATAAAAGCTTTTACAAACTTTATTTTTCAACTGTATTCATTTATTTATTATTTTACTATTTTACTTATTTTATTAACTATTTCTTAACTTTTATTTTAATTATAGTTCCTCAATACGAACTGTCTGTAACGTGCACGGCGTGGTGCGTTTGGACCAATCAGAGCTAGAGCTGCTAGAGCGGAGCTAGCGCGGGCTCAGAGCGGACCTAGGCTAAGTCTTACAAAGCCAACTTTTAGGCGCTTTGAGGATTTAAAAAAAAAAAAAGTTTATGTTGTGAAAATATAATAAAATACCTGTAAATCCGACCTTTGTGAAAGTTGTGGATGCCCTGTCAGTCGAACAGGGGCAGTTTGAATTCCCCAAAAATGCATTGCGCTCTATGGGAGAATTTTTTTCTGGGCCTAAGCTCCCCGGAACTGCAGTACCTGGAGCGTCCATTAGTCAGTCTCAAGCCGGGGCAGAGGGGGGAATGCCTTATCCAGTTCTAGTTATAGATTCACGCTCTCGACCTACCCCGACGAACAAGGCCTCTGTCCGCCTGCTCCGTTTTAATCAACTTAGCATTGTAGCTGAAAATAGCCATGTCTTTGGAGGTAGAATCCGCAGACGTAATCCGTCTAATAATGCAGTACCTGAAAGAGAACAATCTTCATCGCAGCTTGGCCACGCTGCAGGAGGAAACCACCGTGTCGCTCAACACGGTGGATAGCATAGAGAGCTTTGTGGCTGACATTAACAGCGGCCACTGGGACACTGTGCTACAAGCCATCCAGTCTCTCAAGCTGCCCGATAAGACCCTTATAGACCTCTACGAACAGGTGAATGGCAACTTTACTATATTCGTCTTTTCCAATTTACACCACACCGCAGCAGTTAGCGCGGATATCGCATGGATAACAGGCAGTCGGCGCCATATTGATTCTGCCAAAGTGCTTTTCTGTTTCTTTTTTAATAGACTGTAACGGAAAGATATGGTCATTATTCTAAAAACGGGAAGCTCAAAATATGTTATTCTAGGTTAATGCTCATATCTGGACAGTTAATGCATGTTTCCTTTGGAGTTTACGTTTGTTTACAAAAGTAACTACAACCAATATGGCGGCAGTTGGCGAAGCCGATTGAAGTATATCTCTTTTTATTCCATGTGTTGTCTTTCTTTTTTCTGTAGGTGGTGTTGGAATTGATCGAGCTTAGAGAGCTGGGCGCTGCCCGTTCTCTTCTCAGACAAACAGACCCCATGATCATGTTGAAGCAGACCCAGCCTGAGCGGTACATACACTTGGAGAACCTGTTGGCTCGCTCCTACTTTGATCCAAGAGAGGCATATCCAGATGGGAGCAGTAAAGAGAAGAGGAGAGCAGCCATTGCTCAGGCCTTGGCCGGAGAGGTCAGTGTGGTGCCACCATCACGTCTGCTGGCTCTGCTGGCACAGTCTCTAAAGTGGCAGCAGCACCAAGGCCTGCTGCCTCCAGGGATGACCATTGATTTGTTCAGAGGAAAAGCAGCAGTTAAAGATGTGGAAGATGAACGTTTCCCTACACAGCTCAGCCGACAGATTAAGTTTGGCCAAAAATCCCATGTAGAGTGCTCACGATTCTCTCCCGATGGACAGTATCTGGTCACTGGTTCTGTGGATGGCTTTATTGAAGTCTGGAACTTCACTACAGGGAAAATCCGAAAGGATTTGAAGTATCAAGCCCAGGATAACTTCATGATGATGGATGATGCAGTGCTTTGCATGTGTTTCAGCCGAGACACAGAGATGCTAGCCACTGGAGCCCAGGACGGGAAGATCAAGGTATGGAAGATTCAGAGTGGCCAGTGCCTGAGGCGCTTTGAGCGTGCTCACAGTAAAGGCGTGACATGTGTGAGCTTCTGCAAAGACAGCACTCAGCTCCTCAGTGCTTCTTTTGACCAGACCATCAGAATCCATGGTTTAAAGTCAGGAAAAACACTGAAGGAGTTCCGTGGCCACAGTTCTTTTGTAAATGAGGCATCCTTTAGTCCCGATGGACACCATGTCATCAGTGCGTCCTCTGATGGTACGGTCAAGGTATGGAATGTGAAGACTACAGAATGCACCAACACCTTCAAACCTTTGGGCACATCGGCTGGCACAGACATCACAGTTAACAATGTGATTCTGCTGCCTAAGAACCCAGAGCACTTTGTGGTGTGTAATCGCTCCAATACAGTGGTCATTATGAACATGCAAGGACAGATCGTAAGGAGTTTTAGCTCTGGTAAAAGAGAAGGTGGAGACTTTGTGTGCTGCACCCTGTCGCCCAGAGGAGAGTGGATCTACTGTGTGGGAGAGGACTTTGTGCTGTACTGCTTCAGCACGCTCACTGGCAAACTGGAGAGAACCCTGACTGTCCATGAGAAAGATGTGATTGGCATTGCGCACCATCCTCACCAGAACCTCATTGCTACCTACAGCGAAGATGGTCTGCTCAAACTGTGGAAGCCTTAGTGTCATTTTACATACATTCAAAATGGTACACATTTAGGGGTAGGGCTGCAAGATTAATTATAATCAAATCACATTTTTAATGGACACAGTTAGCTAACTGCAAAGAAGTAACATCATTTCCTTCACAAACAACAAAATATCCTGTCTTATTCTGCATAAAAACTGCTAACCTTGTAGTTTAGATCTCTGCTAACATGTTCTGAAATGTGATTCCTGTATTAGTTAGTTCATTTTAAAGTTCAGTCTTTTGCCAATTCTGCTGAACACGAATTGTGAAGTTTTTCCCAAATCGTGCAGTCCTATTCAAAATGGGTTTCCTGATGTACAGTGGATGTCTCTGTTTTCAGTTTTGCTTGTTTTTTTATTTCACTGAGATGTTCAAAATGTGCTTGTCTAGATCATTTAAACATTTTTTACTTGCTTTGTTATTTTTGCATTTGGCCTGGTCAAAACACAAATAATTTACATGTAAGTCTTGAATAAAAAAATAAAAAATAGAAATCAACAATAGAGGTCAGCATCTCAACTTTTTTTGGTCCTTTCATTTTGTTTTATTGTTTTATCTTTCATCTACATAGATTCATGCATGCCCAAATAAGTTACCAAGTTACAACATGCCCCATTATAGCAGGGTAACTGCTCTTGTGATGAGGCAGGTCAGTAGCCTAATTTCAAAAATAAAATTAATGTGCTTATTAATTATGTATGTCCCAATAACTACAGGTGATGGCATTTATTTCAGGACACACATACAGACTCTTAAAAACAAAAGTATTTTGCATCTTCTTTTTTTTGAAGGGGGATAAATAGGTGGTGAAATAGGGGGATATTTAGATTTTTTTAAACAAACATTTTGGGATGTGTTTATAATATTAACAAAAGTACATTTGGAATTAGATATAGATAGAATAGTAACTCAGAAAATAAATAAATAACGTGAGTTTGGGTTTTGTTTTGTTGTTTTTTCCACATTTTGTATGCCTCTTTAAAGAAAGCAATTGCAGATTTGATCTTCTACAGGTTTTGCTGCCCTCCTGTGGACCAATGGCATACGTGCAATATTATGCTGTTTCTATTCAAATACAGTGTGTTTTTATTGCTTTAGATTATTAAGACATTTATCATTTGGCATTAAAGGAAGTCCATGACCTATGAATATTTCATTTATGGGAAAACTACATTCCACTTTAAATTGTGACGCAATCATGACGACTGAACATTTACATCCGGGTTAAAGGTAATCCTAGCCATGCGTGTTCCTGTTGTACGTCCATGGTTTAGTTTGCAGAATCCAGGGAAAAAATGTGCTTATAACTTATTTCGTTTTCCATTTTGGTACACTCACTACAAGAAAGTGCGAGAGCGTAGTATAAATCTGTTATTAAACGACGTGAACATCTTTACATTTTAGCAGGATTTACTGTAGTGTCTAAGAAATTCCCCATCATGTCATAACGTGAAATGCTTTTTGTTCGACCACTTCTTTGTGCCTTAGGAAACAGCAAACTGAGATTCAGGAATAAAGGTAAATATTTTCTTTCTAATAGTGTTTTGCCCAAATTATTCATTTATTCACTTAACTGCTTTTTCTTCACAGATTTTCTTACTAAATTGATCTGCAATATGAGTGAAATATCAGAAGGTGTTCCCTCAGGCAAAGTACTGAAAAGAGTCAGTGAGGACAATGAAGACACTGCTGTTTCCAAAAAGCTAAAGACTGGCGACTCCATAGAAGATGAGAGGAAGTATCCTAAAAAGAAAGTGGTGCTACTCATTGCTTACTCTGGGAAAGGATATTATGGCATGCAGGTAAATTATTATTAGATACATGTAGGTTTTGCCATCTCAATTCATACCATGTGAATATGTCAACTTCAGAGAAATCCAGGAAACTCTCAGTTTAGAACTATTGAGGATGATCTAGTCACAGCACTTGTAAAATCTGGTTGCATCCCACAAGAGCATTGTGATGATATGAAGAAGATGTCTTTTCAAAGATGTGCCCGAACAGACAAGGTGGGTATAGAAGGCCTTGTGTAATAACAGTTTTACTTAAATTAGTTTTGAGATTTGGGTACATTTGAATTATTTTTCAGGGTGTGTCTGCTGCTGGTCAGGTTGTGTCCTTGAAGGTACGCCTAGTTGATGATATAATTGACAAGATTAATGAACATTTGCCAAGTCAAATACGAGTTTTGGGTAAGCATTGTCAAGGGCATTTCACTTTATTTTTATTCAACAGTGAGTCTCATCATAAATGGTCTTTATGCTTTTGACAGGTCTTAAACGAGTGACTCAGGGTTTCAACTCCAAAAACAAATGTGATGCACGCACCTACTCTTACACACTTCCAACTGTGGCTTTTGCATCAAAAGATTATGATACAGAAAAAGCAGCAGCTTTTAGGCTGAATCCAGAGACACTCGTGAATGTTAATCGCTTGCTTGCCCTTTATAAAGGCACACATAACTTTCACAATTTCACTTCTCAAAAGGCATCGAATGACCCCAGCGCTCACCGCTACATCACCCAAATGTCCTGTGGAAAGCCCTTTATCTGCAGTGACAATGAGTTTGCAGAGATCACAGTCAGAGGACAGAGCTTCATGATGCACCAGATCCGTAAGATGATTGGCCTGGTGATTGCTGTTGTCAAAGGATATGCCACAGAGGACGTGATGGAGAAGAGCTGGGGTAAAGAGAAGGTGGATGTACCAAAAGCTCCCGGGCTTGGACTGGTCTTGGAGCGGGTACACTTTGACAGATACAACAAACGCTTTGGAGGAGATGGGCTTCATGAGCGCCTAGAATGGGACAAAGAGGAAGCAGCTATCCAGGCCTTTAAGGAGGCCCACATCTACCCCACAATTGTACAAACTGAGTGTCAGGAAGGCTCAATGATCAGTTGGATGGCTACTCTACCTATCCATGACTTTGAAGCCACAGCTACAGGCGCTCAAGGAAATGAGGACCAAAAACAGGTATATCAGATCTAATATTCTATTCTGAAACTTTGTTATAATACATTAACTGCTGCTCTTTTTCTTTTTTGCAGGTCAAGGAGGAAGTACAAAATGACTCCGATTAGATCATACTTTATCTTTTGTGGTTGTAGAAATATCAAAACAAAATGGTTCTTTTTACATATATGTTTTCAGCTTTAAGTTTCTAATTTTATGGATTATGTGATTGCTATCTTCATAAATATCAAAAATAAAAATCCACTTAAAGACTTATATTATTGCATTATTGATTGATTGATATTAGCCTGTTTGTGTTTAGTTTGGTGCCACTCATTAAGAGTATATATTTATAAAAGATAAATATAAATAAATAATAAAAACAACCGAAGCCGTCATTGCATACTCCAGTCCAGTAGGCGGCAGAACATACTAAATTGACCGCGGTGCGTTCACAGTACCTGACCTAAAATGGGTATTTTAGGCAGTTTAAAGTTTTTATCATATAACTTGTAGGATTTAAGAGTTTGGGTCAATGTAATTTGATTTAATAGAACGTAACTACATGCAACATATACTATGGCCAAAAGGGGCTCATGTAAATTTTTCCTCCTTTGTTATTATTAACATGCAAAACTACACCTTTTGTCTTTGAAAGTAGCACTATCTGTAGGGAAACATGGCGTCTACCAAGAAACGCAACGTGAGTTCAGCTAAAGAAGGTAAAGGAAATGCAAAAAAGACCAAAATCGATCCAGATATTCTGGTGAGAGGCATACTTGAGAGCAAAAAACACGCCAACGATGTTTTTGACTTGTTAGAGATGCTTCAGGTAAGGAGTTAATGGCGGTAGTAATATCAAACAACACTGTCTTGCAATCAGCTCTGCATCATCTTTCTGTTTTTAGTCCCATAAAGAAAAGAATGTCATTGATGCGATCAATGCTTGCAACACACTATTCTGTAGTTTGTTAGAAAGAAAGGATCTTCACATGGGAAATCTCCCTGAAGAAGAGGAGTCGCTGAGTGGTCAGTATTGGTGATTGATCAGAATAAATAAAATCCACAAACCTATATTACCTATACTCATTTATTTATGTACAGGGGACTATACAGCTCAACAAAAATATCACATATTCATGCGTCACCGTTACAATAGCTGTAAGGAAATACTTTTTGACCATCTCGACCACGAAGAATACAATGTCAAGGTAATTCTCCTCAAATCAACTTTTTGTTACTCTTTAAATTTGTTCCACATATACATATTTTTTTCTTTAAATTGTTGTTCTGGCAATTACAGGAGGCCGCACTCTGTTGTCTGATGAAATTTGCAGAAAATGAAGGTCAGCATCCTCTTGAAGATTTAGACTGGAGTGAGCATTATACCTTCCCAAGAGAATTTATTCAGGTAATAAGATATCACTTGTGTCTTAGTAAGTTTTTAGCTATTGCTGCTCAGCCCTGTCTTTCTATATTATATTTCTTTCTATATTTCTCACTCAGTTGCTGGTGGCCCGACTGTTGTCCATAACCACAGACAACACCCTTCTGCTGTCCAGGTTCCAAGAATATCTTGAAATGGCAGATGTCCGGTATTATGTCATGAGCTCCATCCGTGACAATGTAACAAAGGTCATGGATAGAAATAAAGGGGTAAGCACATCAAATTTAACTGAAAATGACCTGACCTGGTCATAACTAGTACACCTTTCCTATATGTCTTTCTTAGATGCCTTTACCCGTGTATCAAAACAATGCCTTTAATCTCATGTCAAACATTTCAATGGCGAGCAACGAGTCAGAACTCACCAACTTTGTGGTCACACAGGAAAGTATGTCTTTTTAGTTAAGTTTTGAGTTGATTTGAATATTAATTTAGTTTGGAAAATGCACTACTTTTTAACTTGAAATACTAAACATTTCAAACAATCTTTCCAGCTAAACATGAGGACTGGAAAGCTACCAAATTGAATGTGAGTGTGTCATTACGTAATCGTGTTTCTGTTCAATATTGTATTCATATTTGTTAACAGCTGATTCATTACAGGAGCACAGGCGATCTTTTGAGAAGATGTGGTTATGTTTTCTTAAATACAAGGTATTTGTTTCATAATTTAATTTATTTTATACTACTGTCTAATTCTAAATTCCTTTGTAATATTAATTTCACCTTAAGCTTCCAACTAGTATGTATAAAAAGGTGTTGGTGATTTTGCATGACTCCATTTTACCACATATGAGCAAACCCACTCTGATGATTGACTTCTTGACTGCTGCTTATGATGTTGGTAAGTAGTCCACGCAAGACTAAAGATTAGATTTAAAAAATGTGTTTATGTCACAATGTGTCTTTATTTTGTGTTTTTCTTTTTTTTGTGTTATAAGGTGGTGCCATCAGTCTGCTTGCTCTGAATGGTCTGTTTGTTCTTATACATCAGCATAACTTGTGAGTATAAGTGGTGCATGATGTGATTTGTATGTTTGAACTACCTAATTGTTTATTTTTCATAACAGAGATTACCCTGATTTCTACCAGAAGTTGTATAATCTTCTTGAGCCATCAATTTTTCATGTCAAGTACAGAGCAAGATTTTTCCACTTAGCCAACCTCTTTCTCAGCTCAAGGTAACACCGCATACATTATACATGTCTTATCATGCCATTGCATTTTGTTTATAATAACAAGTGTATTGTGGTTGAATTTGTCCCCAGTCACTTACCTGTGTACCTAGTAGCCGCATTTGCCAAACGCCTAGCTCGCTTGGCTCTCACAGCACCACCTACTGCCCTTCTCATAGTTCTGCCCTTCATTTACAATCTGATCCGCCGTCATCCTTCATGCCGAGTTCTCATTCACAAGCCCAGCTCACAAGATGGTAACAAGATTTAACTTCAAAATGCATACAATTAAATGTTGTGAGCATAAGCTATACATTTTGTCTTTGTGCATTTTTGGTAGAATTAATGGAAGATCGGTATGATATGGATGAAGAAGATCCTGCCAAGTCGTGTGCTTTGGAGAGCAGCCTGTGGGAAATAAAGGCAAGATACAGATACAGATGCCTGTTTGCATTACGGTTGTCTAAATTGAGGATAGTTTCCATATCCTAATATTTCCACAGTCTGTGTGGAATAAATCAGCCTTGTGCTCCTGCTTTTTTACCTGGTTTCTCTTTTTTCAGACATTACAGAAACATTACCATCCCGATGTGGCCAAAAAGGCGATGTTGATAAATACACCTTTGTCTGAACAAGAAGATGACATTGATGAATTACTGGAGTTAACCACATTTGAGGCAATCACATTTGTAACATTTGTAGTTGCTACAATTAATAACTGCCTACACAGTTGGTTTAGGTTGGGCTAGCTACAGATGCATATTTGTTTTGCAAAAATAAGTAAATGTTATCTTTTTTTTTTAACCCAGCTGATGGAACGGGACCTGAAGCCACATCAGATGAAGAGTATACCACTGGAGTTTGAAACGGCCACACAGCTGCTGAAAGGAGGAGGAGATGTTTTACAACAACATTTTTGTCTAGATTAACAAACTTTTATATCAGTGGACTACATCACCACATCACCTTTGAAGAATATTTAAAAAAAAAAATTAATAAAAAAAGTTTCTTCTTTTTGTGTGGTTTAATCTGAATCTCTGAGGAATGTGTTTTTATGTTCAGTGTGCTAGCTGCGTTTATTAAACTTATCTTATTTTTGTTACTATTAAATATTTAATTTTAGTCACTTTTTCTACCAAAACAAACAAAACTAGCAATTTAGAGTATAGGCTACAGGGCACAGGCCTAATTAGACAGCAAAATTACTACTTTTTTTTGTTTAGGCCTATGTCCCTTATGATGGTGTCCCTCATGGGGCCTACAGATAGTTGCTTGACGGTGCCATCCCTCCATTTCCTTAAGATGAACAGATAGGTGTATAGGATCTATTAAAGGTCTACTACTACAGTTTAGTAGTAAAGTACGTGCACTTGATCCTGGACCTTGCATTGGCCAGTGGGCCTATAGTTAAACGGATTTGTCACATGTTGCAGCCACAGACTGCATCAAAGGAGACCGTATATATACGGTCTATGGTTGCAGCCAATGAATTTGCCGTCTTACTCAAAACAAGACATGGCAATCCCTAACTTATGAAAGATAAGCTAAAATGTCTTCAGGAACACCTAATTTGACGGGAGGGGGAAAAAAAAGAAAGAAAAGAAACTGCCTCGTGGAGTAAGGGGACAATTTACCACATTGTGCTGTTCGAGGGAAAGACTGGGCAAGCTGGGAAATGTAAGTTTTGCCACTTTTTGCATTGGTATGTTTTTGACGAGATAAAATGGAAAATCTAAAAAAAAGAAAGTATGCTTTTTTTTTTTTTGGAGCAAGAGTGGATCAACTTGCAGCTCCCACTAAGACCCATTGTTACTTTTACAATTTAGCCAAACGTATTGGGGCATGATTACAGGATATGATTTCATTTTCATTTGAATACAATTTTATAACTTTCGAGATTCAATGGGGGACTCAACTTACCCCATTCATTTAGGCGTATATACTACTGTATGCCTAGAGAAGAAGATGTTTTATTCTATTCTAGCTTGGGTTTTTAAA